TTTATAGCTTTGGAGTGGTACTGCTGGAGATTGTTACAGGAAAAATTCCTATTGAAAAAGGAAAATATATTGTCAGGGAAGTGAGGACTGCAATGGACAAGACAAAAGACATGTATAACCTTCACGAAATTTTGGATCCTGTTGTTCGCTCAGGTGCAACTCCTAAAAGCGTAGAGAAGTTTGTGGATCTAGCAATCAAGTGTGTTGAAGAAGAAGGAGTCAAGCGGCCTACAATGAGTGAAGTGGTGAAAGAGATTGAGTATATTATGGAGATCGTAGGACTGAACCCGAATGCAGAATCAGCTTCTACTTCAGAAACCTATGAAGGAGCAAACAAAGGACTTCATCCTTATACTGATGAAAGTCTGTTTGTCTATAGTGGGGCATATCCACCTTCAAAGTTAGAGCCCAAGTAAGATCAATGTCTTAACGGGTTTGCCCAAAGTTGAAACATTAGATCACACATAATATGCCATTGCCTGTAATTTGTGCACAAATTTGAGAGAATGTGGAATGATTCAACTAATCTTTTGTACATTAAGGAAAAGTGTTCTGGAGGTCCAACGACGCGATTAGAGATACTGAAATTTTTTGGAAACATTTATTTTTACCTTATGTAAAGTGTGTAAACTCTTTCTGATCTCAATTAGGATGGTCATTTGTATATGAGAATCTATACTTCCATCCTAAAAGAAGTTGTGCATTCAATATTGCAGCTTTACCTTAGTTTTTTTTATAGAGCTATTTGTGAGATATTGACATGAGATCAATTTTACATCACCATTGTCCTTTTGCAGTAATTTGTGGTGATAGAAGCAAAGATAAATACAGATAATAAAATTCCTCTTTCAATTGTTCCGATGATTCTATCATCTTGTATTTTTCTGTTGCACTACAAAAAAGCACAAAATGAGAAAAAGGGGAAACTAGTCAGTCAAGGTTGGTAACTTGTACTCGAGTCCATGAAATTAAACTTACCATCAGTTTATGAACTATCTAAAGGTTCAACAGCTAAGTACTTTAGGACATTGGTTTCTCCAACAAAGCAGAGAAATACCACTCATTCTTATCGATCCCTCGATCGAGCTTCATGCCGGCTTTCCACCTCAGTTTCTTGAATCCAACGCGCTCCAGCATAGGAACATAAGTTGCATTCAACTGT